CTGATCCGGCACATCCACTGGCCTCTCTATATCCTTTATCTGATTCATGTTCTCCATCTCCGGCGACAGGCCGCCGTGCATGCATAGGATCTTGTCGTCGATCACCGCCGCCACAGGCAGGCAGTTGAAACAATCGGTGAAGATCTTCCAGAGTCGCACGCTGAATCTCCTCTTGCACTCGTCGTAGAATCCGTAGATTCTGTTGATGGAGGCGCATTCGTGATTCCCTCGCAGAAGGAAAAAATTTTCCGGGAATTTGATCTTGTAGGCGAGAAGCAGACATATGGTTTCCACACTCTGTTTTCCTCTGTCGACGTAGTCTCCGAGGAAGAGGTAGTTCGATTGCGGCGGAAAACCTCCGTACTCGAACAATCGCAACAGATCTGGGTATTGTCCATGTATGTCACCTGAACATTCAAAATACTCAAAATTCCAGATTTTTTGAGGCATTTATAATGTAACAGCAATTGATTTTAGATTGTTCTGTGTGCGTGTTCTGTTTTAAGTGAGATCTTAAAATGTGTGAATTTGAGAAAAGAAGTACCACAAACATTGATGGGAGCTTCCAACTCAAGGAGGTTGGGTTGGCTGAGGAAGATTTCTTTAGCAGTGATGCAAAGGTTTCGAATTTCTGATTCAATTAACTGAATCCTCTTGCCTCTGTGTTTTCTCGCTTCCAAAAGCCTCTCTATCAACCCATCCAATCCTTCCATCCCCTTTTTGTGATATCAAACCAAGAAAATATAGTTTATTGTAATCTCTATGTGTTGAAATGCATCCTGTGATGGTTAGCCAAACGGAGGGGGAATGGGAGAAGATCACAAAATGAGGAAGGAAGGAAGAAGAAAGAAGCAAAGAAGAAAGAGATTGGTTTACTGGGTTTGGATGAGATAATACAGAATAGGTAGGATGATGATAGAATTATCCCAAAAGAATAGGAGACAAATATGGGAGATGATAATTTTCCAGTGTGAACTTTGACTCTGTTTTTCATGGCTGAAATGTGGAGGTCTAACATTTGCCAATGCTCAAGCCTAAAATTAGGAAGTCGACCAATTTGGTGCCTATTTATGAGAAGATGAAGCATGTACTTCAATCTTCAGTAGCAGAATAAACGGTATTTTATAATCATCAATAGCCATATCTATACAAGTTAATTCTTAATGGAAGTCGCACATTTCATTAGGATCCACAAATAGTGCAGCTTCCAATCTCAAATACCGCGCAATATGCGGTCCAAATTTTGGTTTTTAGCCAAAAAAAAAGAAAAAGGAAGAAGCGATTTTGAAGAGAATAACCAATTCTTCAAATTACATGGGATGCACAAGAGGCTTGAAGCCTTGAATGTGATAGAATAGGATTACATGAGACAATAATTTAATTGGCAATGATGACATGATAACTTAAAAGAGATTGCAGTTTTTTGCTCATAATAATAATTTTATTTGCGCTTATAATCATTTAAATTAGCTAAACAGGGTTAAACTGGACCGAATAAAAAAAAATACAAATAAATTTTTACAATTAAGATTTTAGCTTATGAGAATCAATAGGTTGGATGAGTTCTTGGAGGACCTTTTTTAAAGTTGTTATTGATGAAGGAAATTCAGTAGATTAGTAGAATGTTTGACAGGTAGTTCAGAATTCCTCATGACCTAGAAGCTTTCGAGATGCCATACTTGGATGGAGAGTAAGCCAGTGCGATTATTTGGACCAAAAGTAGACACCCCTAGTGTCCTGATCCTCAACCCACTCAAATGAATGTTGCTGATGCGCCTGAACGGGACAGACTTGGCCTTTTCTTTTTCATACATAGGCTGAAATTTCATTAACTTGGTTTGAATGTAGGAAAGAACTCGGGCCACATTATATCACTTCTAAATCTTGATTTAGATTCACACATGCTCGAAATTGATGTTATTATAACATCAATCAATAATATGATAATGCAGGAAGATGTATAGAGATCGTCTTGCATGCTAGAAGGCCATAAAAAGTAACAAAACTTCGTATATTAAAAACCATCGGAGTCCGACAAAAAGAGCCGCATTACTAAGTGATCCTGGTTCACCAGCCCAGGATAATACAGACAATAACTTAAAAAGACAAAAACCCACATTGAAGTATAGTGGGGCAAGAATTGTCAATTATTCAATTAAAAGCTAAAACTAACTCGTTTCTGATAGTAAAAATTCTCAGATATTTTTACCCTAGTTGTCAACCACTTCTATGAGAGTTGGTTCATAGTCGCTTGGAGCCTCAAATCCATGGAGATTCATCACAGTGGCAGCAACATTAGCAAGCCCACCCTGGGGAAGATCTTGTCTGAACCTGACACCAGGTGACAGACCAGGACCTCCAATTGCAATAGGCACCTGGACAAGCACAGCAAAATAGCACCCAAATTTAGAACAAACATGGACCTCAACATCCATCACAATAAATGCAACTATGCACTGAGGGGGAAAAAGGGTTGGGAAAGCCTCTGGATTCTGTCAAGTTGAGGCAGAATAATGATTATTATTTTAAACAAACTAAAAGTTCAGTCAATTAAACCAATCCCATTCACGCCAAAAAAGAATAAACGACACAAAGCTATTAAGAATGGGTTTTTATATTTAATTAGAGAAGAAATTTTGTGCACCAAAATATAAGGAGTTTTGATTATCCATATTGAATGAAAGGCTAAAATTTGATCAAAATGACTCGTTTTACTACTTAAAGAATTTGGACTCTACTGGGGACAGGGGGAAGCGTGCCACATATGCATGCACTGTTGTGTTGGTAAAGACCACACTGTTAACAGGCCAATAAGCAAAGATGTCGGTGTTTCCACACTTTGCCAGAGCTATTAATATTAATCAACAGAACTGGTAGAAACTACAAAGGTCATCCATAAGCTGGTGAAGCAAATCACATTGTTAAGGTCCTGCAGGCAAGATCCATATCTTTATTACCAGAATTTATGAAAACTTACAGGCTGAAGAGTGTGGGATGTGAGAATTTGGATCTTTCCCTCCTTGTCAAGTTGAGGTTTTCCAGATTTATCCCTCTTCACCATGTCCTCAGCATTTCCATGGTCAGCAGTGACAACATAAATTCCACCCACTTGCTCTATCGCATCAAGGATCATCTGCAATTATCATATATGTTGGTTGAATCATATATAATAAAACAAATGCCAAAACAAACAATCCTGGGTTGCCATTGCTACATTACAAACTCCCCCTCCCCTCCCCCCAAACCGAATCCCACTACACATTTTAACAAACTGAAAACAATGGAAGCAGAACAAATGAAGTTAGATTATTGTTAAAGATGTTTTTTTGACCATGTAATGTTAAAGATGTTTCAAAATATACAAAATGTAACTGATAAACCGTCTAACACTGCCCGAAAAGCATGAGCTTCATATATGATGTCCATTTTCTTGTCCCTTTATTCTCAATAACTGGATTTTTTTCCCTCCACAATACACAGAAGAGATAATAACTTGAAAACTTCCTGGAAAATTACACACTTTTTAACAGTTAAACACTATCTAAATATGTGGAGAAATATTGAATGAGTGAATGAATAGAAATAAAGTTGCATGAAGTCCCGTGAAAATGCAGAGATTTTTTTTTTTTTTGGGGAGGGCGGGGAGCTGAAAGGAGCCATATTGTTTATTATTTATAAATAATACAGCCCCTATTAATTTGATATTTTATATTTGATTGATAACCCTAGCACCACAGTGAATTCTGAAATTCCACATAGATCAAAAAGCACATAATGTGCTATGCTGCAAAAACGTTCCAGATAAATTTGAAAAAGAAAGTTCATACCTTCACAGCCTCGTCAGCTGCCTTGCAAGCCACAACTGTTGCTTCAATGTCACCTGTATGCCCCACCATGTCACTATTTGGTAAATTAACACGTACCTGTGCAACATACAAAGCAAACAGGCATATGAAAGCTATTCCAACCAAACTATCGCTCTCGAATATTACCTGAATTAGTCTAAGTACCTGATCAAATTTTTGCTTAGAATAGCATCCCTTGCCTTTTCAGCAATCTCCAACGCCTTCATTTTTGGTTGGACATTGAATGTGATCCCAGAGTCACTAGGAATTTCCACATATTCCTCCAACTCCGGGTTAAAATACCCAGAACGGTTTCCATTCCAGAAGAATGTCACATGTCCAAATTTGACAGTCTCACTATTTTTACAAAAAGAGAGAAAGAAAGAAAGAAATTAATTTATGTTAATATAAGGCCTATCATATAATAGAAAATAAGTTCTAGAGATAGTTTCAACTTTTCATTAGGCTAAGCTAACTAAAAGTTAATAAATTAACATTTTGTCCATTGCATAGTTGTAATTTGTCACAATCAAGAATAGAATGAACATCTAGAAACATAAACAATTACAAATAAAATTTCAAAAGATAATGGAAGTTCTGCTGCAGATTAAACGGATGATAGCTTACCTGCAAGCAAAAGTCCGGACACCATTATGCACTAAATATTCACCAGAAGTCCTATCAATCTCTGGTGGAGAAACAAGGTAATGACTTGGAAGTTTCAATTCACCGTCATATTCAAGCATTCCAGCATAGTGGATTTTTGGGTAACGAACTCTATCAAATTTGTCAAAGTTTTCATATTCAAGAGCCTTAGCAATCATAACCATACGATCTGCACGAAAGTTGAAGGTAACAACAGCATCGCCATCAACTATAGGACCAACAGGCTTCCCATTCTCATCAACAATAACAAAAGGGGGTAAGTACTGATCATTGGCCTTTGGATCCTCCCTCAGTTTCTTGACAGCTTCAACAGGATTTGCAAATTTATGGGGTGCTTCACCAAGAACTTGGGCATCCCACCCTCGTTTCACCACATTCCAGTCATTCTGCACCCAAGATCAATATAAGAATACTATACCAGAAATATAAAAGATAATTGAGTTTCAACCAATCTTTTCAAATTTCAAATGTTTGTTGACAATAACCCACCAGTGAAAACAGCAAACAAATTTAAACTCTAATTTTCTGTTTAAACTGAATGCAAATCCTGATTCTCATTCATATTATTAAGATTCTTTAGAAGCTCTAGAGCTGTTTTAGAAGATTTTGAACAAAGATAAAGACTCATTATTCTCCATTAAAAGGGCCGTCTTGACAGTATGCATAAATATTCATCCCAGCAATGGAGGTCAACTAAAACTACACTGCAATAGAGGAGTGACGCATACTAGTTATATTCCTTACCTCATAACGGTCCATTGTAACATACATGCGACCTCCTCCAGATGCAACCCTTGCATCAATACCTTTCTGGCGCAATGCTTCAAGATCTTTTTCGAGAGTTTCCACAAATCCCACGCTAGAGCCATCCAAAACATCACGGCCATCAGTGAGGATATGGACACGGATTCTTTTAGCGCCACGTTCACCAGCCCCTTTGAGCAACAACTGCAGAAAAACAGTTGATAAGAGAAATAAATTTGACTCGTGAAAGAACAGATGCTGTATCCGTAAACATACCTGTAATTGATCAAGTCGGGAATGAACTCCACCATCACTAAGTAACCCAATGAGGTGCAGTGTGCCAGTTTCAAAACATTCCTTTATGTACTTGAAACCTTCACCCTCAAAAATTTTTCCAGAGGCAAGAGCAATGTCAACAAGCTTCGCACTGCACATACGCAAGATATCGCCAATCTCAACTGATAAGCCAGTAATTAAAGATAAACAAGAAAATCATAAGAACAAATAATGAAACTAGTGGGCAAATCCACATTATTTTAATAACTCAAGGAGGTTAACACGCAATAGTAAGTTCTAATACGTCTGAAGATGATATTAAAATTACAACATGCAGTTGTCCTCCAAATACACGAGAACATTAAAGTTTTGAAAAATGAGAAATGTGATCAGATGAAGACCACTTTTTTTAAGATAAATTTATTGGATCTTAAATGTATGCAGGCAAATGAAATATATATATATACACATATAACCTATAAGAGGATGGAAGAAACAGTGCAGATCACGCAAACTGCAAATAAGATATATTGACAGGAGAACTCTCATAATACCAAACAATTTCAAGTCAAATAAGATTGAATTCTTTTCTATCCAACAGCGTGAAGATAGAGTGGCCATGAAACAACGAATCTTAAAAATTAGAAATTAGTTCCGTTTATGCTAAATCGAGAGGATAGGTTAAGTTTACCCCTGAGCGAAAATACGTCCTGCTCCAAGAGCATTGTGACCGACTTCACTGTTACCCATATCATCCTCGGATGGAAGCCCTACTGCAGTTCCATGAGCTCTGACCAATCTCCATTTTTCAGGAGCGCCCTATATATCATTAATAAACAAATAGAACCCCGATGAATAAATTAACC